TTGGACGACTTTGAAGTAGGCATCCATGCACTCGTTCTTTGCCTCGTATTCTCCGTTGAATTGGCTCGCTACGAGTTGCGAGTCGTAGAATGCTTGAATTTGATTTGCCCTTATTGCTTTAGCCAGGCGCAAGCCGGCGATGAGTGCTTCGTATTCTGCTTCGTTATTGGACGCCGCGAACTCGAGTCGGAAAGATTGTTCAAGGATTTCCCCTGTTGGAGATATAAGTCTGACTCCAATTCCTGACCCGTTGCGAGATGATGAGCCATCGACGTATAAGGACCATACCTCCTTGGCTGAGAGGTCTTCACCGACGGCTCCTGGTGGGAGCTCGATTAAGAAGTCGGCAAGGACTTGGGATTTGGCGCTGGTTCTATTCTTGTAATCGATGTCGTATTCGCTTAATTCCACAGCCCACTTGGCCATTCGGCCAGATTGGCTTGGACTGTGCAGGATCGTTCGTAGAGGGTGATTTGATAAGACAGTGATAGAATGGGACTGGAAATACGGTCGCAGCTTTCTGGCTGCGGTGACTACCGCCAGGGCTAATTTTTCCAACGTCGGATACCTCGTTTCAGGATCATCGAGTGACTTGCTGACGGAGAAAATTGGCTTCTGCTCGCCGCGATCTTCTTTGACTAAGACACCGCTAACTGCAGAATGAGAGACCGCGACGTAGAGATATAAAGTTTCGCCGAGTTCAGGTTTGGCCAGCACAGGCGGAGTTGATAGGTACTCCTTGAGTTGTTGGAAAGCCGCTTCGCATTTATCGTCCCACTCAAACCTTTTGTTTCCCCGCAGGAGCTGATAGAAAGGCAGGCACCTGTCCGTTGATCGAGCGATAAACCTGTTAAGGGCTGCGATTCTGCCGGTTAAGCGCTGCACTTCTCTCGTGTTCCTCGGGGAGGGCAGTTCGAGGAGCGCGGTGATCTTTTTGGGGTTGGCTTCGATTCCCCGTTTAGTGACGAGGTAGCCCAGAAATTCTCCCGATTTTACAGCGAATGTGCATTTGGCCGGGTTTAGCTTCATGTCGTACTCGTTGAGGCTTTTGAAGCATTGTGCGAGATGGTCTATATGATCGTCAGTGTTGGCTGACTTGACGAGCATGTCGTCGATATATACTTTCCTAGTGTCTCCTAGTTGCTCGACGAACATTCGGTTGACGAGGCGTTGGTAGGTGGAGCCGGCATTTTTCAGACCGAACGGCATGACCTTGTAGCAATACGTTCCACGCTCTGTGATGAAAGAGGTTTTTTCTCGGTCGTCGGGATGCATCATAATTTGATTGTACCCAGAAAAAGCGTCCATGAATGACAAGAGTTCATTCTCGGCCGTCGCTTCTACGAGTCGGTCTATATGGGGAAGAGGGAAACTATCTTTGGGGCACGCTTTGTTGAGGTCGGTAAAGTCAACGCAGACTCTCCACTTTCCGTTCTTTTTCTTGACGACCACCGGGTTAGCCAACCACTCTGGGTATCGGACTTCCATGATTGATCCTGCCTTAGACAATCGCTCTACCTCATTGTTAACTGCTTGTGCTCTTTCTGGACCAAGCTTGCGCCGTTTTTGCTTGATCGGTTTGTACATTGGATCGACTTGTAACTCGTGTTGAACGAGAGACGGTGGAATTCCTTTCATATCTTTGGCGGTCCAGGCAAAAATTGAGACGTTTTGACGAAGAAATTCGACGAGTCGTTCACGCAGGTCGTCACTTATTTCTGTTCCAATTCCGACGCATCGCTCGGGATCTTGTGGGTCGATGTTAATCTGCGTGATGTTTTCTCGCTGCTGATCGTCGGGTGGCGGGAGTTCGTTCCGTACGTTTGTTACAGCTAGGCATGTTTGGGCCGCCTTTCTGATCTTATGCTCGGTGATAAAACATGTTCTTGCTAAACGTTGATTTCCACGGACCGTGAAGACGCCGTCCGTTGTCGGTAACTTGAGGCATTGGTGATAAGTGGACGGTACCGCCTTCATTTCGTGCAGCCAGGGTGTCCCCATGATTACGTTGTAAATCACCGGTTTGTCGATGACCACAAATTTAACTATCTTGGTGATTCTTCCGACACATACTGGGAGTTTAACGGTTCCGATGGTCATAGTTTGGTCCCCGCCAAATACGGTCAATAGCCTTACACAGGCCTTGAATTTGTAGTCTTGCATCTCCATTCGTTGCAACGTTTCTTTGAACATTAGATCGACGGTGCTTCCAGTGTCGATCAAGACCCTAGATACTTCACAGCCTCCGATTCTGAGTTCGATGACCAGGGGGTCGTTGTGCGGTGTGTGGAGTCCATCGGTATCAGTTTCGTCGAAGGATATGTCGGCACCGATTATGAATTCGTCGTCGGGGTTGCGTCTCCAAAGTTGGACCGCGGTGGATTTCCTTTCGTAGTCCTTGATTGATCGTACTGAATCTCTGCATGACGGAATCTCCCCCATGATCATATTAATCCTTCGCCTCGGAGGACCTTGGCCGTTCCTCTTTTCCTGATCGTCTTGCCCGCGCTATGGTGGCTCCATGTCCGAATAGATAGGGCCGGCCTATTGATTTGTTGTTGCGTCGGTCGGTGATTTTTTGGCCTCTATCTGGGCTAGTCGGAAACGCTCGCTTTCGTTTTTTGGCTGAGCATTCTTGTTTTGGTCAGCGGGCTGTTGGGAAGCGCCACTCCCAGACTCTTTGAGGTCTTCCTTAAATCGTGTCATCATGGTGTTTTGTAATGCTCGGCATTCTCAGTGGAATGTCCGAATATCTTGTGGAAGTCACAGTATGATTTGGATCCTCCGGACGAATCGTTCTGGCCTCGGACGTACTTGTTCGACCTGCCGGGATGTTGCGAATTGGTTTGTGCGCCTGTGACAGTAAAAGTGGAAGCTCGGTTATTTTTGTTGTGGTTGTAACGCTGTCGTAGTGTTGCCGTGGCTCGTAGTACTCTTCCTTGGGTTTTTCCTTCGGGGTCGATGCTTTTTGGGCGGCATACTTCTTAGTCTTTTCGGCCCTTTCTTCTTCGATCTCGATGAAGATTGTCGCGTGATGGAGTGCGTCCTCTAGGCTGGTTGGTCTGTTCTTTTTCAGTTCTTCGTAAAAGCTGGATTCGAACCAAAGTCCGTTTCGGAGCGCGGGGAGAACTACGTTGTCGAACACAACTAATCTGGAGACGATATTCTTGAATTTGCCTATGTACGACCGCAACGATTCTTTCGAGCCTTGGCGGAGTGTGTAAAGGTCGGATTCGCGAGCTCTGTGCTCGATAAATATCGAATAATGTCGGAGGAATGCCAACGACAGATCTTCATAGCTATCGATTGAGTTGGCTTTCAGTCGGGAGAACCAATTCAGGGCGGCGCCTGTCAAGTTCTCAACAAACAATTGACAGTATCCCGCGTCGCGTTCATGCAGCTGGAATTGGGCTCGCCCCATGGCAATCATGAAAGACTGTATGAATCCCGTGGGATCTGTTGTGCCGTCGTATGGTGTTACTTTAACCTTTCCCGGGTGGCGAGCTGGGAAATTGGTTATATTTTTCGTAAATGGAGTGTTCTGGGCTTCCTTTAGCACGCGGTCGAGTTCCGGGGCCGAGCTTGTTGCCTGACGAACCTTGGAGCTCATCAGTTGCAGTTTGGCTTTCATCGCTTCGAATTCACTGTTTAGTCGTTGATCCTGGCGACTGGGGTTGCTGATGGTGGCTTCCTGCGGGCTCGGCTGCTCCAGGGTTCGGACGCCATTGTTTCCCGAATATCTCTGGTTTGCTCGTTCTCGGCTGATTGTCTGGGGCCGGTCGGCCTGCTCGTTTGGACTAGCGTCCAAGTCTTCAAATAATGCTCGTTGTAGACATGGAGCAAAGGCGGTTGCGGCCAGCGTCTGCTCGTTGCCTCGATTGTGGAGCTCATCGATCCTGTTGTGGCAAACGTGTTGCACCGTAGCCAGGTCGTCGAGTCTCTCGTTCATTCCACGCGTGCTCTCGGTCATTTGGGCGATGAGCATTTGGAGTAGGCTCGACACGTCAGGCTGTGCCGAGGGATTTTTGGGAGACATCGTCAGACTTGGGGTATTTGTTGTGGCGACGGAAGGTCTAGTTGCAGAAACTGATCCCGTCGACCTTGCCAGAAAGACCTGTCCGGTGGGTGGAGTGTACGTGCGGTAGGCAGAAGCCATTGAGGTCGGCCTTGCATATGATTGCTCTAGAGACATCATTGGACTGCGTTCCTCCAACACTAGTGGGGTCGACATGGGGAGTGCTACGGAATTCGACGTAAGTGGTGCAAATGAATTTGGTAAAAGCGATGCCGTAGGCGAAGGCGAAGGAGTCGGCAGGGATGACACCATGGAAGTCGGCAAGAGTGATATCGATGAGGTCGGCGCAGGTGACGTGGTGGAGGTAGTCGCGGGCGACACGGAGGAGGTCGGCGGGCCGACTGCGGATAAAATCTGTTCTGTCATCTTGACTTGTTATCTTTAAAACCTGAATCTACCCTCTCTGGAGCGCCAACTGATGAACCTTAGATTCAACCTTGGATAATTCGTATTTTATTGATAACAAGAATCGAAAGATTACAGAACGAACTCGTCAAAAGTACTGAAAAGAGGGTTCCCAAAAACTGGGATCCCGAGCGAGAAGCTCTAACACGGAAGCCGACCTCCAAAAAGGAGAAGCTTATTACAACGCGTGATTAAAGCTTAATTCCGTAAAATCCGGAGTAATGAATACGTTTTTCGTACAAGGTACGGTCCTATTTATAGGGAATTAAGGCGGTGGCTTCATTGGGCTTCACAGGCTTTCTAGCGGAATGGGCCTTGTCGGGCTTTATCTTCGGATTTGGGCCGAGCTGAAGCTTTGGGCTTCTTTTATCGAATCTGGGCCAAGCTGACTTTATCTGATTAATTCTTGAAGCTGGGCTGGAAGCTTCTTCTTCTTTCTGGGCTGGAGAACACATTGGGCCGATTTGATTAATAAGACCTTTTCAAGGCTTTATTCCAACAGAACACATTAAAAAGCTTTTCAAGAGTTTTGATGCATTTCTTTGGCAAGGAAAATACAGCTGCCCAAAAAACATACTGAATAACACATACTGAATGAGCTGCAACTTTTCAGCAAAAGATAAATTTCCTGACAGTCCAAGAAGGTATGTGAGCCATAAATTTATCGATTAAAGATTTATAGTCTTGAGGGCGGAGCTTATAAAGATTTAGAGGCAAGCCAATGTATCTAACAGGGAGAGTACCTTGAACTAATCCAAGACTTTCTGCCATTATCAGATAAGAAGAAGTTTATCCCCATCAAGAAACAAGCAAGACTTTCAAAGACTTAAACCCAACTCTGAAACCTTTTGAAAGGTAGAGAGAACATTTAAAATACCTTCTAAGGAATTAGAAGAGCCATCAAAGAATATAAGCATATCGTAAAAAAAACTCAGATGGGTGACTAATGGATAACTACAAGTCGAATGAGCTTTAAACTGATCCACACTAGTCGCCTAATCCAGTTATTTTGATCAAATATCCACCACCATAATAAAAAGAGAAGAGGATATAGGCTCACCTTGCCGTAAACCTTTCTTCTTAGGAAAGAGGCCCGCCAATTTTCCATTCAAAGCCACATAGTAACAAGGAGAGGTAATACAAAGCCGAATCCAGGAAGTGAAGACTGCACGGAGCTCGAATGCTTCTAAAATGTTCAGAATGAATTCCCAATCCATATTGTCATATGCTTTAGTTATATCGATTTGAAAGCACCCTCTAGAAAGTTTTTTGAAATCAGAAACAATCTCTAAAGCGAGGTGAACGTTTTCACAAAGTTGTCTCCCTTTAATGAAACTCACCTGATTTCTCTGACCGAAAAATGAGTAATGAGTTTTAAACGAACACAAATAATGCTTGAGATACTTTTGTAAACAGTATTTACACAGAGAAATGAGGCTGAAATCCGATAGATTTACCACGCCTGTCACCTTTGGAATAAGGGAAATTATGGTGGAGTTAACTTGTCGAAGCATTTCCGGGTTCACGCAGAAGTCTTTAACTGCGCTTGTAAAATCTTTGCCGACCAAATCCCAAGAAAATGTAAAAACTCTGCTGAAAAGCCATCAGGTCCTGAAGCCTTGTTCCTAGGAACGGCAAAAAAAGTTGCCTTAATCTCTTCGTCACTTGGTATGGCTGATAACTAGGTTTTCACGGTAAGATAACTAGCTGAGAAAATCCTAAACCTAGATATAATCGTTTGCAGTATAGGGCTTAAGGTATCAATCCAGTTTAGGTAAAGTGATGTTCACTAAGATTCAAAGTGACAATTCTTTAGGTCAAATTCGGTTTAATGAGAGTTGGATTCTTACACACCAAGTGAAATCAGGAACAAGCTTGTGTCACTCAAGCTTTAAACTTAAAAATGGTAAAGAGCATAAAAGTAAACTGAATGTAAAGCACGATATAAAGTGCAGTAAGTAAAAAAAATAAGATTATTTGAGATTAATAAGATTAAGTTAGGGGTTAGAATGGGTTAAACATATTAAGAGTTTGGTCATTATATTAAGAACATTGCCATTATCATTTGATCACATCTAGACTTGGTCTTTTGATGGTGACTTCTAGGTAAGGGGAATCTTTACATGTTACTTAGCCAATGGTATTTGGGTCTAGATCTTTTGTAAGATTTACCACCATAGACGAGCTCTTGCAACACGGTACAATGAATCAGATAAGACTAAGACATCATCCCCATAGAACTGTAAGACTTCCCACACAAGGCTAATTTCGTAGGGTGGGTCCATCATTACCCTTGAAGGTGGTTATGACTAAGCAAGCATGTGGTGTTCGTGTCAAGCCGCCTAAGAGCTTGTAATCTAGTTGATCAAGCTAAACTAAGCATTAAAAAAACCAGCAAGGAGAAATCAAAAGTAAAGTGTATGATAATAGGCAAGTAAAGGATCCAAACCCCTAAATCCTTAAGTAAACCCACTTAACCCCGTGAGATGACTACTCACGCACTATAGAAGAGGCCTTAGAACCCATGAGGGTGAAATATCTCATTCTTGGCTAACCGTAAGACGAAAGAACAGAAAAATAAAGATCACTATTACTTAAAAAAAAACTTAAAGGAAAACTTAAAGGAAACTCGATTAAAACTTAAGGTTTGAAATCGCTAATGGCAAAAAATACAAAGCAAGAAGAAAGAGTTTGGTAGTGATAGGGCTCAGGTTTTATCCAAATAAAACTACTGCAAGTGCACAGCAAAAGCAGTTGTAGTACAAGGGGTATCGAATCCTAAGAGAGTAATGCAGACTACATTATCGAATGTAGGTTCAGATTAAGCTAAGCAAGATATAATGTATGTAATGCGAATGATTAAATAAAAGTAAGCAAACGATTTTGTAAGATGATCTAAGTTTCAGAAGACTAAAAGCGCTAAGTCAGGACAGTTCGCAAGTTGAATCCAAGAATGTAGAATGCATGAAAATCAGGAATGATTAAGAACCATTTTAAACATGAATCACTGACGTATAACTAATCAATTCTCATTGCAGAAGTTATCTATGCCTAAATCACAGAGTTTCAAATCTCTTTGCAAACCCTAACAACCTAAGCATGCAGGAATGATCAGATTCAATTGTTTACAAAACTCCTAAGCCAAATATCTTTGCACTAAATTGTTTTGCTCATCAAATACTAGTTCAGGTTATCAATAATGCTCTCACATATATTCAACAACCTCTGATTTTCGGATTCCTAGATGATGTGTCTTAGAAATTCGATTTTAAAGCAAGCAGAGATGAAAAACCAAAAGATATTCCTAACAGGTAGCAATTCTACAAACTCTTCATCAACCTTTGAAAAAACCCTAACTTAACTAACAAACTACTCACACATGATTATGGATCACAAAACATAACTGAATAATATTGCATTAAGAGAAAGAGTAAAAGAATAAGGGGAGGGGGGGGGGGGGTTCGAAATCTTCTCAAAAGAGTACAAGATTTGTCTCCCCAAAAAGCTCTGAATAAATCTCTCTCTAAGCTCTCTGAATTCTCAAAAACTAAGATAAAGACCAACAATGGCTGAAAAACCTAATAAATATAGGCTAAACACGATCTGGGGTCTTTTTGTAAATAATAGAACTTCTGGGCCAATTCTGCAATTATTGCTCCATCTTTTAATAAACAGCCACGACCTCCTTCCCTGGTGGGTGACGAGCGTCACCATATGGCATACTTTCTGATCCGATCTAGGTAAATTGTGGCTTCAACTCCAAATGCTCCAAAAGGCTTCAATATCTCTAATTATGCTCCAGACATGCTATAACCTGCAAAGACTCTTCTAGGACTCTAAAAAGACTAAAAAGACTCAATAAAAAGGACTTATATCATGGTTAAAAACCATAAAAACCATTATATATCAACTCCCCCAAACTTAGCTTTTGCTTACCCTCAAGCAAACATCAAACAGAGAACAGGGTCGAGGTTTGAAAACAAGAAACAGTCAGTCAATCATCAGGAACACCACACTGGTTAGAGCTTTCAAATCCACATACCACAAAGTCAACACAAGATCAAATTTCAGTCTAATCATCACAAGCTTAGCAAATTTCTCAAATCCAATCCAAATTCCTTCAAGAAATCCGAAATCTCTACTGCTAACTTCTTATTTTTATCTAAGTGTGAAGTCTCATCAAGGTTCTATCATCTCAATCACTTTACAGATTCTTTTCCCTTCCTCACAACTGAACAAACCAATCTCAACACAGCTCTCCTATTTTCTCTTCCCTTGATCTTTTCCTTTGGATATTTTTGATTTTTCACTTTTTTTTTTTTTTTTTCTCAATGTCTAAGATTTGGTGCTACTCAATACTTGTGTTCCTTGTGAGGAGACAGGTTCTTGAGTGTGTTCACTACTGTTGTTCCTTGTGAGGAGACAGGGTCATGAATGCACCATTCTTTGAACTTAAACTTTTAAAAACTACATCAGGGAATATCAAAGAGAGACTGTATCTTAACTTTATTGTCAGTGTGCTGAAAGAGAGAATCAAGATCAATAAGAATCAATCACCAAGATAAGAAGTTAAAGTTCATTAAGGTGGAGCTAACAGCAAATTTTCCAGATTCTCTAAGAACCTAAACCTTCTTTGCTAGGCTGATCTACCTATGACTTTCAACTTAGTAAGACTTGTAATCAACTACTGTGGCAATGGTTCTTATCAGCAAAAACGTCCTATGGTTAGTTCCAAGAAAAACTGACAGTTTCAAAATTTTGACTCTATAAAAACAGGTTTTTGACTCAACTTTAAGACTCTATAAACATGACACAAAGCACACAACGTCAGTAACCACCTTCTCCAGACTTAAACAACACTGTCCCCAGTGTTATTAAGCCAAGAGTTGGTCAAAAAGATGAATGAGAAGTCGAAAAACCAAGTCAGAAAAGTGTTACCTCACGTGGGGTCGGGTGACGAGCGTCACCAGTGTGGTGACGAGCGTCACCACGACCTGTATTGCACAATCATCAAGTTAGATGTTAATTAACGAAGTGTTGTCATGTGTACTCTAAAGTTAGACTTTTTGAGCACTCAAACACACAATTAATAACATCCAAACATAGCAATAAGAACCTGGTTCATCAATCTCACAAAACATCATCAAAGAAACTGACAACTAACTCAAAGAAAACATAAAAATGACTCAAGAGAAATAAAAATAAAAGAGAAAAAAGAAACAAGTAACCAGATAGTAGAGCCTCAGTCCTCATCCTTGCAAGGCTCAGTGGTGTAATGGGGGCGGACACAACCACAGTTGCTAAGTGTAGCAACATCATCCCAGAGTCCCTCAAAGCTGTCAATGACATACTCCTGAAAAGCAGCCATATCCATGGGTGTCTGTGGTCGTGGAGGACGCCTGAAAGCAGTGGAGGAGGTAGTCTGGCGTCTAGATGGTCCAGCATCATCAGCAACTGCAGTAGAAGCAGAGGCGCTAGCTGTAGCAGCTCTAGCGGGGCGCAGAGCTAAAGTGCGCAGCAGAGTCCAATATGGCATGAAGAACAGCTGGCGTGAGTCTCC